CGATGGGAAAAAGCATAGGCTAGGCATGCTGTGGCCGATATTCTTGTCAACTGCACACACCAGATCATTTGTAATCCCCAAAATGCCACCAAGGCTTCCCCCAAAGTTCCACAGAACCACAATTGAAGCTACTGCTTTTATTTCTCACACCTTCTTAAATCAGCCTCATCTGCAGTATGCCAGTGTACACACATCCGGAAGGAAGGAAGGAAGGAACCAGAACTGGTCACACCCATCCCATCCCTCAAAGAAGAAAGAAAAGAACAATTTGTTTCAATCAAATGAACAGTTCCTCCTGGATCTGCTTCTTTTGAATTAATTATGCCCAGGCATAATAGTAAATGTCAGTATCATCAACAACAAAAGCTTGCTGAACATAAGCCCTCTACACAGCACTGTGTCAAACACTGAGGAAAACACGGACAAAAACTCTCCATCCAGCCAGGCAGGGTGCTGCACCTATAGTCCAAGCTATTTGGGAGGCAGAGGCTGGAGGATAACTTGAGTCCAAGAGTTGGAGCTGGAGGCCAACCTGGACAACACAGTGAAGTCTTGTCTCAAAAAACAAAACAAAGCAAAGCAAAACAAACTCTTTCACAAAGCCTCTCACATATACTGTCTTTCCCACTTTCCATCCTCACCAAGGATTTGGTCATTCATTTAAGCAGCCTTCTCTTCCTTTGGCTTCTCAGTCTACTAGAAAGTTCCATCCAGAGTCAGATTGTTATCCTGACTTTGAGCGTAACTCTGGCAGCTAGGGAAAGGATAAAGATCAAGACGCAGAGGCTCATGGGCCAAGGCGGTTGCTAGAGGAAAAGCAGAAGAGTCTGCATAGCAGGGAAGAACAAACTCCTAGGAACCGTTGCACAAAGAACAATTGCTAAACACCTTCAAAGTGCACCTTTCATAGCTTAGCAGCACCTCCCTTCTCCTTTTCGGTTTCATTTGGAGGGTACAGTTTGAATTCCAGCTGGGTCACACAATTGTTACCAGCACTAGAACAGCATGGTCTATTTTTCTTCCAAAGACTTGAGTCAACTCTTGCCTCCAAGCCTCAGGAGAAAATGCAAGGACAGGGTAGCTTGGATGTTCCTTAACTAGTTTGAACATTCTGTAATCTGTAATCAAAAGTAACAACTGGAAACAAAAGTCTTTTGTGACAGCAGAGAAATAGGGTATGTTTATCTACTGACTTAAAATGACCTTCACTTTTTCTTGTTTCCCTCACCTTTTGCCTTGAATCTTATCGCAAAGTCTCTTTGAGCGGTGGAAAGACTGACTTTTGAGATAATTAGAGCCTTAGAAGTTTTATTCTGCTTTTGTTGAATCCTTAGCCCTGCTGCATGCAGAGATGATGAGAATCCATAGACAAAATCTGTTTTGGCTCTTGGCTGCCCATGTGAGCAAGCTGACAGACCATGAGTTCTGGAGTTGTTCACCATGAGTTCTGGAGTTGTTCATACACTTGGGCCCTTCTTCCCAGACTGCACATTCTCTAAGTAGGTCTTTGAGCTCGAAAAGAAACAATAAGGTTCACAGGGCAGTCTCAGCTGCACAACTGTATCAGCCTATTGATAATGGAGTTTTGCAAGCAACTTTGCAAAGGCCAGGGTTAGGACAGATTTGTAACTTTTAAAAATTGTTTCAGCTTGGGTCATAGTCTTAATGATAGGTGGGCATGGTGGCAAACTCCTATAATCCCAGCACTTGGGAGGCTGAGGCAGGATGATTGCTTCAAGCTCGAGACCAGGCTGGGCTACAAAGTGAGCTCAAGGCCAACCCAAACTGAACAGTGAGACCCTATCACAAAAAGTCAAAAAAATAAAAAGCTCTTAATGATCAAAGACTCTTTAGAATGACAGTTGATAACTCATGAAATGTAATACACAAACATGGATGAAACTCCTTCCATCCACACAGCTTCTGAACATCTACAGCAATACTCAAAGCAACAAATAGTCCCTCTGAAGCATGTGAGTTCGCAGCAGGATAAAGTGGGGGCTATGTGTCTTGGGTGCTGGGATGTGGTGCCCTCAATCTGAACCAAATTCCCTTGGAAAGCTTGCAATAGGAGTCTTTGCTGCCTTTCACTCCCTGCACGGGACCTGAATGTCTTTACCTTCCCTGTCATCTAAATAGCTCATCAGAAAAATGCAGTTTGGTTTGTGTACGCACTGTCAAGCATAAGAAAAACCTAGTGTGGGGTACCATGTGTCTCTGCAGCCCTGCCCCGTAGGTCATGTGGCCCCCATCTGCCTGCATTGTGATGCACTTCTCTCCTTGTAATGCTCATCTAACATCATGGTAATACCTTGGCTTTCCGTGTATCCGAAGCAAGGCTTCTGCCTGTTCTTGGTTAAAAGAAACAAACAGTAAATGTGCAGGATGAATACAACACTAGATCTAGATTTCTAATATGTTGCAATATCAACATGGAATGTGCTAAGGTCTCCAAGGTAGTTGACATCAACTTTGACATGATACAGTACCCTTCCTTACAAATAGCACTGATAGAATCAACAAATCTAAGAATCCATATCTTAACAAACCATCTTGGCTCCTCTTTTCTGCTCATTTTCTCATGTCTTTAAAGGGTAGTCCTTGATGTTTTATGTTTTTTGGCATCCTACGAAACTTCCTTGTATTGCAGGTCTGTATTTAGAATGAGAAGGCACAGCTCATGTTTGCTCTACTTGAAGTCAAGAAAGAAAATGAGGACATTTTCTTATCCTTTAACAATTTTAAATCCAGACTCTACACCCAGTGGCCACCCAAAATACTTTCATTTCTTTCTTCTTCAGTACCCAGGGAGTCTTTTAGTATTCTTTCATTCATTCAACTATATTCCTCATCAAATACAGAGTGTACCAAAGGTGATTCTTTTTACCTTGTGCGTGTATTTTGATTGGGGCTGAGACTTTCTAGAAAGAGGCCTCTTAATAGTCATATATATATCTACCTCCATTGCTAGACATATATTAAACTCTCACTTTCAATAGTTTCTTGTTCAGTGGTTTGAGTAGTTGGTTCCATTAAAAATTTAAGTGACAGCTGTATTGATACTTGGGTTGGGAGATGTCATTGTTTGAAGGCCTTACCACTTAGAAAGTGCGATTTGGAAAAGGTTCAGTGATCAGAATGTGAGGATTGGATGAAGGAAGTTGTGGTAGTGATTAGTTAGGACTTCAGAATATGCACGAGCTTATCCACTGGGAAATTGAGATGCACAATCGAAAGTGTATGATCCCTGGTAATCAGATATATGTGAAGTTGAAGCCAGACTACCACACTTCCTGGCAGAGCTAGGCTTGGGCTAGTCAGTCATCACCTTGCTCTTGCTTTCTCACCTGTAAAATGGGAGCAAGAACAGAAGCTATGCCAGATCTTTATCACTGTGACTGCCATTTAGTTACTTGACAAGTGACAGTGCTATCTACCAGTAAGTATCCAAGACTTACCTACTACTGTCATACACCCTTCCTTCCTGCGCTTCATCTGAATTTCCAGTGTGGAAAGAAGTGTCCTTAGTGGTGGTCTCCTCCTCCTCCTTCCCTCACGAGTTCACAGTCCCCACCCTGGCAATTTCAGGCAATAAAAATAAACTCCCCATCCCTAACCTGGGAAAGACTTGGAACTTCTTGAAAGAAGATGGCACAGAACAGTCTGCTGAAATTAGAGAACATAGGAGGCTGAAGGCTCAGTTGGAGGCGGGAGGGCTGGTGCGGTTGCAGTGGGAATTGCAGACCTAAGAAGGCTGCCATCTAGCAAGTGAGAAACAAAATGACCAGGTAAGTCTGTACCATAGGAGGCAAGAAAGTGCAGATTTGGGGAGGGTAGGAAGGTGTGAGCAGGCTTGGCAAGAGATGAGCCCAGAAGGAAGCAACACACAGGCGGCAACAGATTGAGGGCAACACTCAGAAATACAAGGAGAAAGAACACAAAACCAGAGACTTGTCTCAACTGTGGGTATGATGGATGAATCTAAGAGGTAGTTCAGCAGGGAGAGAAAGAGCCACCACGTGGCTGGTAAGCTTAAAACTTAGCAATATAAATGCAAATTTATTAGACTAGATTAAGCTCTCTGAGTGTTGAGTAGATGTGAAATTGATTTTTAAAAGCTTCATCTTTTAATAGAAAAATGTGTCAAGTCCTGCTGGTGTAAGGCTTAAGGCAAAAAAAGAAAGAAGAAAAAAGCAGAAGAGGAAAAAGTGGGCATGATACCTCTATATGCTTTCCAGATACAGAGGAAAAGGGACTGCCTAGGTTTTTGCCCACTTCTGAGCCTGTTTTGACTCCCAAATAGCCTCTAATCTCCGCAAGCTAGCAGCCTTCAGTTCAGTATTCCCTATGAAATGCTCAGTCTGGTGAGAGCTCTTAGAGAGGTCTCCTGCAGCCAACCATGACAAGCTTTGGTCATAATACACATTAATAACCAGGTTGACTGCACCACACAGGCAAGTGTGCATGAAATGATATGTACCTCAGGCCAATTTTTTCCCTCATGGATGAGAAAAACATTTGGCAACTTTTGAGGGCCTCTCCCCAAATCTGGAGACATTCATGCTAACTCCCCTGCTTCACCTTAAAAGACCATAAACACCCTAATGATTTTTCACTCAACTTTGAGACCTAACAGTGTCACAATTTGTTCTGCAACCATGCAAGAAAGTCCCTTCTCATTTAGGTCGACCTCAGCACGTCACAGCAACTTGTATACCCCTCCTAGCCTCTCCTTGGGTCTCATCCCTCAACTTGGACATTTCTTTGTGTAGTGTTGCAAAGATTAGCAAACTCATGACATAAATGCACAGAAGGCACATCATAAACACTCCTTAACTGAATGAATGAGTGGGGAAGGATGGAATGTTACAGAGTTGCTAGGTAGAGTGATAAACGGAGGAAAGGGATGTTGGATCGCCAAGGAGGCTGCTGATTGGCTGGCGCTCAGGATACAGGGGTAGAACGCCGAAGCTAGGAGAAGGCGTCCTCAGAGAAGTTAGTGGCTACCTCGCCGGTGCAGCAGTGGGCAAAAAGCCTGGCTGCCCAAGGCGAAGGTCCGAAAGGGCCTTCGGGCCCAGCCCCGCCCCGCCCGCCGGGGTCCCAGCCCCGGCCCCGGCCCAGGGCGCTCCCGCGCCTGCGCACTGCGGCCCCTGAGCTACTGGTGGGTCCCAGCTGGGCTCCGAAGATGGCGGACCGCGCCGTCGCCCGCGGCAGCGGCACCACATCCTTGCGGGGCCTGCGGGAACGCATGGGTGAGCGGGCCGGCAGCTCCGCGGGGCGGGGGGGCCTCAGGCCCGCGCGGGAGTAGGGGTTTGGCGGCCTCGGGGGCCGGCGGAGCGTGTGGCGGACTCTTGAAAACTTTTTTCCGGAGTTGCCTTACGCCGTCCGGTCTTCCCCTCACCCCGCGAGAGCCCCGGGACGGGACAGGACAGGACGGGACGGGGGCCGTCCATCGGCCGGGGGCGAAGTGGGGGACGGCCGAGCTGCGCCGCCCCAGCCGGAGTCCCGCTGCCAAGCGGCGACAGGCCGCTGTCTAGGGCCGAACCCCGGCTGGCGGGCGGCGGGGCGCGGCGGACCTAACGGGCGCTGCGGGCGGGCGGGCGGGCGCGGCTGGGACCTCGAACCCCGCCGACGGCCGCGGCTGCGGCCCCGCCTTCCAGCGGGCATCGGCCGGGAGGAGCGAGTGCGCGCCCGGCCCCGAGTGCCACGACCGCGCTTCCCCGCGCGGAAAGTTTGCGTTGTCCCTAGCCCGCGGCTTCACACCCTCTCGGTCCCGGTCCAGGGAGGAAGGTGCTGGGGGAAGGGGAGTTGAAAGTTGCAGGAGTAAAAGAAAAAACAAAAACTTGACTCTGCATCTCCTCATTTGTGTGCTGTATACCACATGACTTCGACAAGATGTCACCTTCTGTGGGACATCTTGCAGTCCCTAGGCTGAACTGAAGGAGAATTAGCACTTTTGGAGTGCATTCTTCTCGACAGGTCCCATCGCCAAAAAATACTGCCCTCATCCCCCAAAGACCGTTAATTTAATCAAATTTGGGAGCAGAGCACATTGCTTGGTTCAGGAGACTGTTCCACTACTTGAGCGACATAGTATGTCTTGTGGAACGTTGCTTTGAGCTTGCTTTCAAGCTAATTCCTGCTACTAAGTAAAATGATATTACTTTTTATTGAAATTCTTAGGGAATTTTTCTCATTTGCAATTAAAAAGCTCGTTTAGACTGAGATTGGAAGACCATGTGCTACTGAAGAACACTTTGAATCACCTTGCCAAAGAATGTTAGAAGTAAATTACATTCTCACCGTGTCCAGGAGAAAAGTGCCTCTCTCTCGTATGCACCTAAGAGAGCCAGCTTGCAATGGATTGTCACATTGCTTGTTGACACCTAAGGTTCTCTGATAATAAGTTTAGTTCATTGATTGATTGAGATTCATCAGTATATATTCCAGTATGTTGAAGGAGCCATGGTCTGGGTAGCTCCTGAAATTTTTGTATGTGGACTGTTAGAATGTAATTTAAAATTACTGGACAGTTGCATGAATATATGATATTTCACAATTTAAAAATAAAAATAAAACCATACCCAAGAAAGGCTTAATCCAGAACCCTCGTTTACATCCTTCTTGACCCTTTCCTATTAGGAATTGAAAAGAGACTGTAGACTTTCACAGCACCAGCGTGGTTAGAACTTCTGTCTTGCTGTCAGCCTTTTCCTAAAGGGGTCAAAGGGAACAGTGAAATGTTTTTGCTAGAAGGTCAATTTCATCTGCTGGGAGTCTGGCTGCCTGAGTTAAAATGGTGACCTGAACAAACACCTTAGTAGGTCAGGGTAGCGTCTGCATATACTTATTTTCCTCAATTATGAATGTAGCCTTTAATGTGTGTAGTCTATCTTACATAAATGTATACATCTGAATTTACTGAGCTGTTTTCTGTGTCTAGCACTGTATTAAGGCTGCAGGAACATAATTTAATGAAATGCTTTTCACATTTATGCAGAATTGTTTTAAAATAAAGTTTATTTGAACGTTTCATCCAGATGAACAAAGAAACTTTGCCACTGACTTGTCATTTTTCCCTTCTTTCTTTTCTAAATTCACATAATTTTTCAGTTTCTAATTTCACACTTTTCAGTTTCTTTTCTAAATTTACACAAAGAACACTTTCTGCAAATGCAGGAAAGACTACAGATTTTGAGAGCCTGATTATTGTAGAATTTTAGAGGGGAAGAAACCTTAAAAGTTATTCTGGTGGCTGGCATGTCAGCTAGAAAATCCAGAGCAGCTTCTGCAATTTAAATGTATACTCTAATGGGGAGCTTAATATCTTAATATCTTTCCACATAAGCAATCTGCTGTGGATAGCTTTAAATATAGAAAATAGATGGCATGTCTAGGTTTGGATATTGTGGTCCTCTGGAAGTTTTAGCTTTCTGGGGAAAATAATTCTACTTTTTAGAATTGTTGCAAGAATTAAACGAAGTACCACAACTGAACTTTGTAAGTGGTGAAATGATACACGTTACTTGACACAACTGTTTTTAGAAAAATACTAAGATTCGTAATCCTGTTTTAGTAATGCTTTCTATACATTGTCTTTATCGCCAAGCAAAAGGTAACTTTTACCTTCATTTGGGTTTAGAGTGAAGATAAGAACTATAGAAGTGCACCATGCTATTAATGGTGTTAACTTTATGCTATTAATCACTGGGTTCCTAGTCATCCACAAGCTTGTGCTGCCACTGCCGCTAACAGTGCTGATTGCCTTTATATCCACAGATACCTTGGCGCACCCATTGTAAACACTTCAGTTCCTAAAGTGTTGCATCTTTGTTGTTGACCCACATTCAGCAGTCTTGATTTTACTCTATGGAAGAGATCTGACCTTTCATTATCAAAGACAGTTGACTGAGGTTTGCCAACTCCCATATTAGCTGTTTGTATCATTAATATCTAATCCGTTTCCTTTATCTCCCGGTATCATAGTTGCTGAGGCCCGTGCAATAGCTGAAGAAAGACGGAGTCAGATTGGAGTTAATTCTTTGGTTATTTATTCACCCAACATGAGATCATCAGTTAAACCAGGTATAATTTCTGTAGTACTTTGATAGATGTCAAAATATCATATCTTTAAAATTTGATATCATGTTAATATCTCACTATATTTTTTTAGTTATAGATGGATCTGTGCTTAAAAACGATATAAAACAAAAGTTAGCAAAAGAGCGCAGAGAAGAAAAACAGAGACAAGATGGTATGTTTTCAATTTTCTTAAATTAATGAATTTTGTGTAAAGGTTAATATTTCTGAACTGAGTTTACTTTCCCTATATTTATAGATTATAACTTCTCTTATGAAATGGCATTGGATTGGTTTCAATCTGCTTATTCAGATTTTTTAAAGCCCAGGAAAAATCTTTGACTAGCCGAAAATGGTGGTGCACCTGTAATCACAGCATTTGGGAGACTGAGGCAGGAGGATTGCTGTGAGTTCAAGGCCATCCTGGGCTACATAGTGATTTCAGACAAGCCTCAACTACCTAGCAAGACCCTGTCTGGAAAAGAAAAAAAAATCTGTGACTAAATTACCTTTGAAAGGGTAGTTTGTACCTTTAGTTTTCTGAAAACTCAGGTACAATTATTTTAACATTTGCAAAAACAGACTGAATAAGAATACAGTAAAATTCTTAAAATGAAAATAATAAAAGATTGTCTTTTTACTGATTGCTGTAGTTCTAAAGTATGATTTCTGTTATAAATTACAACCTAAAAGAATGAATTTTCAGCTGGGCTTAGTGGCACACACCTATAATCCCAGCACTTGGGAGGCTGAGGTAGGAGGCTCTCCACAAGCTTGCGGGCAGCCTAGGCTACATTGTGAGTTCAAGGCCAGCCTGAATTACATAGTGAGGCTATGGCTCAAAGAAACAAACAAAAAAAAGAATAATCTTTGTACAACTTGAAAGTATATTTTTCAACTATGTATCTTTTGTCTTTGATCTTGTGAAGCCACTGAGAAACCAGTGCTCAATTTTATTAAAGTTTATCAGTTTTGATAGAGAGGATGTAGAAAGAGAGAGTACTGTCATAGGGAGAGTATTTTACAGGTGCATAGATACTCTCCAGGTTGTAGTGAGAGAAAATTTGAATACAAGAAAGCATGATTTTCTATAATATCGTATATGGCTAAGTCCTTTAAGGTAAACTCTGCATGCTTAACATGGCCTGAAAGGTACAGACATAGAAAAAAGCTTACTAGTAGATGGAAGCAGAGCATACATTCTTGCCGTGTATTTGTTTTTCTACTTGTATTTTTAAATAGCATTTTAAACTGGAGAAGTTTGACTTCACCTCAAGCTAGCAAAAACATCATATAAAGGAAAATATTTCTTTTTAATTTGGAATTTTAGTTTGTACTGGATGAGAGTCATATGGCCTAAAGACCCCAAGTTCTGCAGAGTGAAATGAATATCCCATGAAATATAGTTCCCATCTATAATAAATCATTAGTTACTGTTACAGGTTATGTTATTTTAAGAAGCAGAGTGAGATGTATTGACTGTTTCCTTCTATGCATATAATGTGGAAAACTTACTCGCTTGGCCCTTGCACTTTGAAAATGTATTTGGAATATTTCAGCCAATAAAGAACTACAACTGCATGAAAAAGAAAGAAAGGCCAAGATCCAGTATGAAAAATATTTGGAAGAGAAGCACCGAAAGCTACGGGAACAGAAAGAAAAAGATGAAAGAAGAAGGGTATTAGCAGAAGAAAAAAGAAAACAAAAATTAGAAGAAGATCAGGTTTGTAATTTTGCTGCCTGTTCATCTGATGATAGGCACTGTTGCTGTCATGGCCCCTCTAGACCTTTACTGGCCCTGTGGAAAGGGAAGCAGGACCTCCCTGCTCTTTTGGTTCTTTCCTGATAAGGGCCCAGGGGCTTAGACTCACTAACCTCAGGAGGGAGGAGGAACTCTGTAGACCTTCTGGATGTGGCTCATGGGATATCTGCAGGCTGGGGTTTCTCCTGGGCTGTTCTACTGTAAAGCACATTCACTACCATCCCACTGCCTGGACACCAAGGCACCCCTCCCCCCCCACGCCTTGACAGGCCTGGCTCGCTGGTTTCACTCAAGCCCTCTATCTGCAACTCCTTAATCCAGGCGGTGCTTGTTCTTTCCTCTTGCTCCCAGTTCCCTCCCGTGTCCATGGCTCTCTGCTCCCCCGGATCCCTCTTGCTCACAGTCTCTTCCTCACAGGGCCCCCTGGACCTGTGATTCATAGTCAGCATTCTGCCTCTCATTGCATGGCTCTGCCCTGCTCTTTTCTTCTCTGGCTGGTTTTTTTGGTGTCGCTGGCACACGGTTGGTATGAGTCAGTGGCTTTCTTACGGCCTTTCTTTCTCCCTTCTGTGTCTCTTCAGTCGGCTTCTCTTTCGTTGTATACCCTGCGCATCTGGCTGCCTTACCTCGCCGGGTGTGCTTTTCTTTTTGACACTATTTATCTCGCCATGCATTCCACTCCTTTGCTGTGAGTACGCTTGACCCCTTCTGAATGACACATGTGTTTTCTGATGCCAACTCTGTCTCTTTATTCCAGTGACTCTCAGGTGTCCCTAGGTAAGACTTAGACTGTCTTACTCAGACCTTTTTCTGCATGAGGCAGCTCACTTTTCTTTGCTTAGCTTTGTCTTGGTCTTAAATTCTCTCCAGTGTTTCATCTTTGAAGTCTGCCTGCTGTTCTCAGTCTCTCTCTCTTCTTCTCTCTGTCTCTGTCTCTGTCTCTCTCTTTGTCACTTTATTGATTGATTTTTTTTTAGTATGGGGACTTGAACCCAGGGTCTTGGTAGTGAGCTGCATCACCAGCCCATTTTTGTAAAATATTTTTTTTGTTTTCAGACATGGTCTCACTAAGTTGCCCAGGCTAGGCTCGAACACAAAGTGCTGTGATTACAGGCTTCTTACCATCATGCTTGGCTTCCCCCTCTTATTTTCTATTGCTCTAATTTTAGTACTTCTTTGTCTGTCCCTTTCTCTTTGTTCCACTTTTTCCCAAAGCATTTCTCTGTCTTTCGCTGTGGTGTCCTGTCTTCCTGGTTCACACAGTCTTGTACCCCATCTGGAGCTCTTCCTTATTCTAAGACTGCTCTTCTGCCATTTCTTCCCTGTCTGTGGTCTGGTCCCTCTTCCCCTTTGTCTTTCTGAACTTTTTCTGATGCTAGTTGTTCTCTGTATGTTTCATGTTCCATTACTTGGTAAAATCTCATTCAGAATTTCTGTTACTTGCCATCATCCTCTGAAACAGCTCCTTTATTTTATTTCTCAGTGGTAAAGAAATGAAAGCCTGAGGGGGAGAGAGGGAGGAAGAAGAAGAAAAAGAGTCAGAGGAAGGGAAGGGAGAGAATGACTAAGAAAAGACAGGTTGAAAACCAAAAAATGAAAGTAGGAAATTGCACAGAATGAGGGACAGCCTCCTGGGAGGAGACAGTCCTAAGGACTGAGAGAAAAAAGGAGAACCATCTCAGTAAAAGAGGAAACCGAGAGAGAGAGAAGAAAAATAAGGTATAATAAAACAATACTGCAGACAGAAAAGGCACTGAGAGCATGGTAGGAGAAAGGGCAGAAAGCCAAGGAGAAAAGGCAAAAGAGAATCCCAGAGAGCTGCTGTGGATGAATCCAAGACAGAGCAGGAGATACTATAAGTAGGCTGAACATACAAGAAAAGGAGTTCTAGGGGCTGGGGATTTAGCTCAGTGGCATAAGCGCCTGCGTTGCAAGCAGGCAGTCGTGGGTTCAATCCCTGGTACCGATAAAAAGGAAAAAGACAAAAAAAAAAAAAAGGAGTTCTGGCGAGCAGAGAAGGAAGCATTTGTGGAGATGGGAGATAAATATGATAGAAATTTACATGTGAGCCATAGATGGCCACAGATACAAGAAGGAATCTGAAGGAACACAGAGGATCAGTGCATTTGAAACCAATGGAATAGAATTATGAATATTTTAATAAGGCAAGAGTCATCTCTTACAGTGTATTATAGTTCCAGGGTTTCTAAGTAATTTAGACTAACTCACTTTTTGTTTGAAAGTACAATTTTCAAATATTGTCATTAGCTAAATTTTATTTCATTTTCCTAGTATTTTTGTCTTTTCCCTCAGAGAAATGGTGGGGACATTCAAAGAACAATGTTACTGTGAAACCATTGTTAGGGGAGAATAGAAAATATCCAGCCCTGAGGTTGATGTGCTTTCTCAAGTATAGTCCAAGGTGTGTCCCAGTACAGGGATGAGAAATATCTCAGCAAAGAACTCATTTCTGGAAAGTTATTTATTGCTTTGATTTGTTTTGGTGCTGTGGCTTGAGGCCAAGGCTTTGCACATATTAAGCAAATTCTGTCCCACTCAGCTACTTCCCTGATAAGTAACAGAGCTACTAGTTAATAAAAGCAGCTTTTTCTTTTTTGTTCTTTTTCTCCTCGTGTCCCATCCTGTCCCTTCCCTTTTCTTGTGACTGAACTTGGGACTCAGGTCTTCGCACATGCTAAGCAAGCACCCTACTATTCCTACCAGTGGAGCTACACATCCAACCCCACTGGAACTCATTTCTGGAAGCACAGTTGTTGGGTTGCAGTGTGATGTATAATCTCTATAGTTGTTCTGACCAGTTTAAGTTGCAATTGAGGTCAAGACGTCATTGGTTATCTTTACTGAAACTTAACTCGTTAACACCAGAATTTACTTTTTACAGATATGGGTAGAATAGATTATTCTGTCAAAAATTTCACTTATGTATACATGTATGTTGATATTTCCCCCCATCATTCCACAAAAAATGTTAAGATAATTTGAATAATATCTATATACCATACTAGATGATAAAATCAGTGGTGTGGGGAATGAGGCAAAGGGAAAGTTGAGGTAGGGAAATAGTAATGCATAAGGTATGTTTAGCATACATGGCTATATACCACTGGGTATTTGTAAAGTTGCTAAAAATAGGCTAAAAATGTGATTCTAAGTTTCCTAATACAAGCAAAGAGGGAAATGTGGTCAGTTTCTTGCTACAAGATCCGTAGATTTATTCAAGAGAAGCATTGGTAGACACTTCGAACATGTCTCCAATGATATGAAAAATACTTCTACCTGATGAGGTTTGTTACCAGAAACACAAGTCAAAATTATATTAACCCATGTAATGAATGTATAAATATGCTTTGACATTTTTGTTACATAGGAAAGATTTAAAGCGGTTCTTTCTCGTACTTTGGAACGAAGTAATCGTATGGATCAGAAGCAAAAGCGATGGTCATGGGAGGGCTCTCCTGCAGTGACCTGTGAAAGCCAGATCGGTAATCAATAATGCAGTTGTCAATTTTTAAGTTTGTTAATGTTCATGCTTGAATATTGGCAGTGGGTAGAAGGTTGCCTTTATAGTGAAGTTTTAGTCTTTATGTCCTGAATGCAAATGATCTACATAGTAAATTTATGATTAAATTCATGTCATATACCAATGCATAAGAAAGATTTCATAACAGATTTAAATTCAGTATATCCCCAATGTTACCTAAATTTATAATCAGCCTAAAAATAGTGAATACACAGATTATGCAATGCATATTTAAAGAACAAAATATCTGCCTTGGTTGGCATTGACTCACTATGAATTTCTAATGTGTGGATATAATTGCGCACAATTTGATAAAACATAAGCTAAATTTATTAATTTGTAACACGTGACTGTGAACATCCTGTGCCTAAGGAATGCACGTGTGCTCCAGAGAACTGAAAACATCACATCATGAAAACTCATTTTGTTTCTGCTAATGTTACTTTCTTCTTGAAATATGGTTAACTTTTATTTTAGTCAATAAACAATCTGTACCTAATGAAAAACTTCAACAGATCTCATCTGCTTTCATTAAACACTACCTATGTCATTTACAGGTCTTCAGATTTCATCCGGTGAATGTAAGTAGTTATTTCTTATATTCTACTGAATTTGAATTTCAATTTAAGGGAATCAGTCATTTATATTTTTGCAGCACTGCTTTATATTTATGAAACATTACACTTATTTTAAGAGTGCCATATTTACAGCAGAGAGACTAATATTTATATTTTTATCAATATAAATCCTTGTACCATGATTTTTTTTTGAGGCAGTCTCACTACGTAGTTCAGGCTAGCTTTGAACTCACTGTGTAGTCCAGGCTGGCCTCAAACTTGTTACAATCCTTCTGCCTCAGCCTCCCAAATACTGGGATTACAGGTATATGCTACAGTGCCCAGCACCATGATTTTTTATTAATCATAGCAGATGAGCTTGTTGTGCTCAGGTAGGTCAAACTGAAACTTATTTTGTCCAAAAGACATTGCCATTAAGTGACATAATGGCTTATTTTGCTTTTAAGTTAATTTGTATCTGGCTAATTTATAAATGAAATTGTGTTTTCTGAGGTCTAGTCAGAGCATTCATTCAGTTTCCATTAAATATCCTGATTATTTAAGGAAAATAATAGCATATGTGTAACACTGGATAGGTTGGTCTGCTTTACATACATCGTATTTGTTACCCACCGCAAACTTACGAAATTGACAAGCAAGTATAATTACCTTCTTTGTTTTATAGTTAAGACTTCAAGAACCTCTGTGATTTCTATGTTGACATATGGTTTTTATGGTTTATTTTGATCATTTAATAGGTAGATCACAATATTTAAATTGTACCTTTCACCCAAAAGTCTGTTTTTCCCTCAAAACAAATAAATGGTTAATGATAGCTCTATTCCCAAGCTCTACTTTGTACTTCATAGTAACAATGCAGTGTTGTTTTAAACAAAATGAAGTTGTCTGCCATGGATATTTCAAATACTTTGTTTCTGTTGTTTGCCTTTTGTTAGTGTTTTTTTTTTATTTTGAAGAGGTCTTTACAAGAGTGTGTATCAATGACCATTTTTAGCTGGCAGCACATGGTACTTCTCATTGATAACTAAAATGTTTTAAGCAACCATATCCGTCTGTCCAAAGGGGAAAATCCTACATTCTAGACAATTCCTAGAAAATTATTCTTTCTAGAAGAAACACTGGATGTGATCTTGGCAAGAAAATCACAAGGAAACCTGTATCATTCCAACTTAGCCATTAAAAACTGTGAAGATAGCTGGTCACGGTGCTATACACCTGTAGTTGCAGCTCCTTGAGAATCTGGGGCAGTGGGGTCATTTGAGGCCTGAGAGTCAGAGCCAGCATGGGCAACTTACTGAGACCCACATCTCAGACACACAGGTGCAACAATACTACTTCACAAAATAGTCTGAATCTTAAAATATGTCTTTTATATTATCAGTTGCTTTGACCTTTTTTTTTGAGCACTGTTGATACATGTAAAATTCTATATTCAACAGATTGTGGGCAGTATCCATTGAACAAGCATAATTAAGTTTGCAGTGGCTGAGTGAAAAAGATTTCTGGTTTTGTCTCAAACAATGTTACAGTTGCAATATGTTGGAAAGGATTTCTGGGGCAAAAAGGTTTTGTTTTGTTCAAACTCACATTATGTTACTTGGACTTTTAGGGCTCTTGCAGTTAAAACAAAGAGCTTGAGAGGTGTTAGATTGTTTTCCTGGTCTGAGTGCATCATGTTTTCCCTTATAATAGTCTAAGCTGATCCACTTATCACCCCCTCCCTCACTGTGCATTCCCAAGCACTTTGTGTACAGCCTGAGTTCATTCATATATTAAGGTGGGAAGATTGTCCCTAGTACCTTGCTTATCACATGGTAAAGTTAATTTCTTGTCCACCAACTAAGTCCTTTAGAAATTGGTAACATTAATGGCAATGTCATGTTTATGTACTATGTTTATGTGTAACTGTTTCACTACCTAACTCCTTTCAGGGATTAGCAAAGATTTAATATAATGAGCAAACAGGAGTGTACTTTCATTACTGTGTCTTCTTGTCATATTTGTGAGACATGTAAAGAAAACAGCCAGATAGTGACTTTCAAGATAATAATCAACTAAATTGCACTTAAGGAGTAACTCCAAGTAACTATTTAAATAATTTCTTTACTAGTTTTTAATACAAAGTATATGTGGAAGATGCTTTTTGAAATAATTCACTTAAAGGTAAAGTATGGTGCACACTCCAAAGTGATGAATGCTGTAATTAATGATTCCAGAAAAATCTCTTTGAATTGAGATGAAACCTATTCAATCAAGAGAGATCAACATCTCACACTGAAATGAAATTTATAATCTAACGTACTATCTTAAATAACCCTGTTTTAAATTTTGGTTGATTTACATAGTCTGTTTTTTTTCCTATTCATTGCTGCCTCATAATAACTGTTCACACTATTTTGTCATTTCTTGCAGTATGCTAATAAAGAATACATGACTTAATCCCATTTGAATCACTTACACATCTATGGTTCATGCTGTGCAGTCATATTATCGTTTTAAGGATTTTTCAATTCACACTATATTGCTCATATGTACTAACATTACAAGTCCCCAAAGAGAATTTCTCTTTTAAATAGACATTGCTAGAGTATTTCAAGTAAACTTGCTTTGTCTACACTTAAGCTGAGTTGCTTAAGTTGTGACAACTGTACCACATGTTAGTACTCAATTTTGTTTTAAATAAGAACCAGTTGTGGGGCTGGGGATTTAGCTCAGCGGCATAAGCACCTGCCTTGCAAGTGTGTGGTCATGAGTTTGATCCCTGGTACCAATAAAAAAGAGAAAGACAAAAAAAAAAAAAACAGTTGTAACTAACGTGTAATTACTTCTAGTATTAGATACCACGGATAATGTTTTAAATTAAGGGTTTTATATTCCTCATTTGGGAACTTGGATGTTGTCAGTTAAAATCAGCCATTTTCCCTGTTAATTTTTGCCATTTTCTCAACTACTTTTTCGTTTCAGGTAGCAAAAAGTAAACTAGTTTTAATTTTGGAGATGTAGAAACTCTGCCCCGTATTTGAAATTAAATTCTTACAAGGGTAGAGAATATTTTTCTAAAATTTCGAAAAGACTAATAATTGTCTCCTGAAACAATATATTTAAGTAGTTTTTGACAATTCTCCTTTGTACTTGATCTCTAGTAAGAACAGAAAACAAGAGAAGCTCATCTTTGAACCGAAAAGAGAGTAAAATGCGTCTCTCTAATGGACATATGGAAGAGAAGACAGGTGATGATTTATTTTTAAGCATAAATATTATGTAGTAGTTTAAAAGAGCTATGTGTGTGTCGATCTGAAATGTTTAAAAAGTCATTCCTGGGGGCTGGGGATTTAGCTCAGCGGTATAAGCGCCTGCCTTGCAAGCAGGCAGTTGTGAGTTCGATCCCTAGTACCGATAAAAACGAAAAAGACAAAAAAAAATATAAAACATAAAAAAAGTCATTCCTAAAACGAGAAGCCAATATGTCCCTTCTTGAACTAAAAAGTATGCATTGGTGCCATGCTTAACTGGCAGAAACCAGAAAAGTTTGTCTTTAAATGAAGTATAAATTTCCTGTCATGAGTTACATCAGTTCTATAATGAAGCTGAAAAAACAAAATGTTGTTACAGATGGATAGGTTTTGTACTGGAAGATTTGAGTCCATTCAAATATTTTTATCAGTTTGTGTTGAGAAGGTATAAATTATTGACCACATTCTGAACGTCAGCACTTTGCTCTGTTGCCTCATAGAATTACCCACATAGATTTTTTTGTGCATGATTTCACTGCTGATTATTGATGAAATGCATATCATTATTACTAAAGTACTTCTTCATTTAGTTTCTTTTAAACCTTTTTCCCCTGGCATTTCCCTTTCACCCATGTTGGTTGCTTTTTGTTTTACACTGATCTGTTTATTTACACAAGAGCCTATTAACTGACTCAGGTTAAATGCTATTGGAACAAACGCTGTTGTTACAAGGATCTTTATGAACATAAAGATTTATTGGAGCAAGATATTTACAACAAATTTCATTTTTAACAGAAGAATTCATTGAATCCCTGGGAGCTTTTGACAATGAATATTGGCTGTGGACTGGCTTGACCATGATGATTGTCAGTAGGACTCACTGTAAAAGTTTGTTAAGCAACATATTTCTTCATGTTGAGTTCCCCATAGAGACTCTAGAGTGTGGGAATTGTTCCATTAAGTACTTTACCTAGATTTCGTCCTTTCGTTACACTGTGGCCATTCCTCCTTTATTCTGGTAGTATCTTCCTGACACTGTGATCTTTTCAGATGGCAGCATCCAATGTTATGATGTTGTTTTACTGGGAATGTTACCATTTTTATAACAATTCATATTGCCCCTGCTCGTTTTGCCTTTATTTATATGTAAGACCTCACACTGAATATTTTCTGATTTGTTCTCATTTAGCTACTCACTGTCATAATAATACTCCAGAGAATAATTTAGTCGGTCATCTACTTACCCCAACAAAAATACCCGTAGTGAGAAGCAGGAGTGCTGCTTCATTGTCCATCACAAGAAAAGAAAGTCCAGGTAATAATCATATAGTGAAATGCTTGAAAGTATTAGAGATTGTACTTCAGAAATGGGCTGTATCACTTAATTTGTTGCATTTAATATTCAAAACAATTTGAATCATTAGTTTCCAGATTTTTATCATAGAGTAATCTGAGTAATGTATAATTTATATTAAATGATAGCTATATTTGGTGGTTCTTATGACTTGTGTCTAGAGTTCCCCCAAAGCCTCATACAATCATAGGTGGGGCTGTTTCAGAGGTGGCTAGATCTAGAGTATGGGATACTAGGATTGATTCAGTGGTACAATACTAGGCTCAAGGGCACTAGGATTAGGGATGTGAGTGGCGCTCACCCTAAGTAGCCTGGATAAGATATAATGGATAGAAGGAGCTGTAGTTGTCTCCCTTGCTTGCTTGTTTTTGCTGTCTTCTCCTTGCCGTGAACTGTTTCTCATCTGCAATGTTCCTCTGCAAAGCCACTCTTGTTATAGAGCCAGCTGATTATGGACTGAAACCTCTACCAATTGTGTGCTAAATAAAACTTTCCCCCTTTAACTTTGGGTGTCAACTGTTTTGTCTCAGCAACGAGAAAAAAGTATTACAGTGATGGTTGTTAAATTTTAAGGTTCTATGAATTTTGAAAGTGTAGAAGAATTTCATTAAAATCAAGAAAGTAACTTTCCTATTCTACTTTACTTTTTTGCTAAATGTGTAAGCATAATTTTGAATCTACCTTCCAGCTTTTTAACTGGGAGCATAAAAATCGTTAGTAAAATAAAACACATCTTCAGGGTTATGTGGTCTTTTTTATTCATAGCTTATATACAGGGTTAGCTGTACCTGTAGATAGCAGTAGCAAGATATTCCCAGTAATGGAAAGTTCTACTGCATTTTCCTCATTATTTTCCCCTCTGCTTTTTCCTTTCTAAAACATGCCCTGCCTCTTTTGCTTTTTTCCCTGTCATTATTCCTATGAGTAATAAAGTCAATCAAAATGCTATCATAGCCTTCCATATAGGATAGCCCTTCTGCTTTTGGTTCTGATTTCCACCATTGTTTATGCCCAGTGTGTGTCAGATTATTTTCTGCCTGGCTTCCCCACCACCAATCTATTGTAAAATTTTTTATCACTTTTGTTTTAGTTTAATAGATCGACACTATCAAAAAATACCAATATTTTGCGTTTAATTTCTGTAGCTAATCATAATAATAATCTAGTCATTATACTTACTACATTTTTTGTAGCACAAACTGTTGATGTTAAATAATGAGACTGTTTAAATGCAGATATGTAAAGAAAGAGTTAAAATAATAAGTTAAAAGTTTCATTCATATATACTCAATCTTTGGTCATTTATTCTATTTTAATTACTTGATGAGCTCATGTGAATATTTGATATCCATACTTAAAGATGAGGTGATGTATGCATTTACTAATATGTAACAAAACCACTACCAAATATCTTTTTTAAAAGTGTTTATTATAAAAACAGTAAATATTTAGCATAGAAAAACCTTTTCAATGTAATCTTCCTACTATCCCAGTCCTTACTGGTAATAATAATTTTCTTTGCATTTATATGTTTTTTCACAAGCTGAGATGACCTACCTTTATTAAATGTATACTATTGTCTATGTCCCAAAATTACTTCTTATATTCATGACTTCCTTAGTACAGCCCAAGTTTTTTATTGCATATTTGGATTATATTTTCTGCTGATTCAATATTATAGACAATGGGGTAGTTAGCAACCTTGTATAGATTTTTTATGTATTTATCTCTTATTTGCTAAAGATAAACATAGAATCACTAGAAGAAAAAATATTCTCTTTAAATGGCTTTAGTTATATAGATAGATAGATAGATAGATAGATCTATATATATTGCCAAAATGCCTCTAAGAGGAATCTGCACTCTTACCAGCAATATATGAAGTTACCTGGTTCCAAACGTTGGAATACCATTTTCTTCCATCTTGTGTGATGTGGCATATTAGCATTTTTGTCCATTTCCTAGGCAGAAATAATTGTGATAGTTAAAACTAGAAGAGACATTGGAGGTCCTATCCCTTCAGTATGTCTTAGTGCAGTGTTTAGTATGGTGAGAAAATCCTCCTCCTTAATTCTGTTCTGAAACAAATCACATATGGAGGATCTCACATAATCCCATGTAGTGATAAGAGCCCAATGAAGAGGTTCAAACTACTGTAATAAAGTGTTGACAATCTTAAAAATTTTCATGAAAATCAATCTGAAATACAGTGTCATTTGAGTCAAAAAGGCTTATTGCAAACATTGGTTTTGGAGAAGCATCTTATTTTGTCTGTTTAGGATTTTGTCATTGCAGCAACTCTGTTGTTAGTGTTTGATTCCTTGGTACTAACTCTATGTTGGTTCTGTCCCATGTCTGTGATGCATTTCACTGAACATGTGCTGTGCTGTGTGTAATCCCTGTGATTTCATAACAGTTTCTTTTATCTGTTCCTGTTCTTCTACTGTGTCCGTGGTGTTCTTAATCTTGTCAAATTTCTAACTGTTGGAATTTTATTTTCTGTCCTCAATTTACTACAGATTTGAACAAAAAACACATAAAATGTACACCGAATCCATCACGAAGCCATAGTAGTGAAGAATTGAAGACTTCCACTGTGCACTACAAGTCAGCAGTGAAAGTGCCTTCACAGTCAAAAGTGGAAGTGGCTTCCCTGGCAAAGAGAGAAAAAACAAAAGCATCTCCAGAAGTATCTTCTGTGATAAGCAGGGAAGAACTACCAAAGGTGAATCTGGGCACCACCCCCACGATGAGTGACAATGTAGACATGCTCACCTCAGTGGCTATGGAGGCAACCCCAGGAGTGAGCGGAATGCAGACCTCTTCTAGTTTGAGTACAGATACTCTCACAGAGGTGACAATGGACATGTACTCTGAATTAAGTATGGACACCTCCCCCCTGACCAGCGTGGAGGCATCTCCAGTGGTGAGTTTAGACACCTCCCCGGAGGCGAGCACCGATGCCTCCCCGGTAGCTAGTGTAGACTTTTCTCCTGAGGGTAGTATTGAAGTCTCCCTGGAAGGTATGCAGGTGCTGCCTGAAGCAAGCGGGAACGCTTCCTGCAGAGCAGGTACAGAAGGCAAGTCCGACGCAAGTATGCAAGAATCATGCAGGGAGAGCAGGGAAGCCCTGCGTGAGGTGCTGATAGAAGCGACCCCTCGGACAAATGTGGAAGAGCCCCCCAAGGTGAGTGGTAAAGGCATCTCTAAGACAAAACTGACTCTCCAGAGGTTTGTCAAGTGCTTTTCACTGACAGACAGGTTTTCTAATAAAATATGTAGTTCTACTGTATAGATCACAATAGATCAGGTTTTACAATATGACTAATTTGTCATCTATTATACTCTGCAATAAAATGGAACTAACTCAACTAATAATTTTACATTCTCTAATGTTTATTATATCAGCATTTCCCCCCCAGTGCTAGATTATCAGTCAATTTTTTATACAGGACAAAAAATGCATCTGTGTATATGAACTGTTCCTAAATACTGAAGAAAAAGTTTTTGAAAAATATTCCAAACCTTTAATTAAGACTTAGAAATGGAATTAGGTTTTTGAAGTAAGATTTCTTTTAATCTATTACTTTGATCCATTGAATAGTGTCTTGAAGAAAATATCTCTGTATAGTACTTGACTTTCATGCACTAAAGGAAAATTGGGAGTTTAAGAAACTAACAATTGTATTGTATTTAGAACATTTCTCTCTTAGGAAAAAAAAGCCAGCTGCAGTAAAATAATTGCTATTAATTTCTTATTGCATTGGTCTGCACAGAAACTGGAAATTGACACACATATCACCAACCCTATTATCAAGAAGCACCAGTCAGGAAATATCCCCCGTTTTAAGTGGCCTTTATCTCCTACAAAGGAGAGGCGTCCAACCTCACCCATAACTACTGCGTAAGTAATCTGTGTGCAGTTGTTCTTCATAGGTGTTTTACTGTGATAGACTTCATTTCAGTGTCCCATAAATGAAACATATAGTATATATGGCGACACAAATGTAAAGAAAAATACTTTAAAAGTAGATTTACTTTTGTCAATTTAAAAAATTCCCAGAGAATAATGTCATTAACACACAGTATTAAGATGTGTGTATGTGTCTAGGGGTGAGGGGTGCTGGGGATCAAACCCAGAGCCTTGCACATGCTAGGCAACCACTCCACCCACTGAGCTATATACCCCCTCTGCCCTAGACATTATATTATATGAAATCGTATACTGAAACTAATTAGCACACATTTGTTACTTTTTCCTCAGGCAAAATCAAAAGAATTGCCCCCCATCACCTTCTCCAGCCTTGAAACAATCATCACCATCCCCTCCATCCTATAAAATAATACCTGTTCAACGTACCGTTTGTGTGCCAAATGCATTAGATACTTTGAAAGAGAAAAGAGAAACTGTTTCTAAAACTACAAATGATGAAGCTGTGAAGCAAAAGCATATGATTCATGATGGTAACTTTATTCTCTTCAAAAGTTTTCTTTGGTAACCAAAAAATCTTAAGATACTTTGGTAATGTTCAATTTCATTTCTTTTCCCACCCGAGATAATTTAATGAACCAATGGGCCTGGATTGTGGCTCTTCTTGCTTGTCCTTGTCCTTGTCTGAACTTACTCCATCACTTTGCTTTTGGAAGGTATATTTTTGGATAAGAAGGTTGGTATACGTCAGTGGTGGCAAACCTGTGGCACGCATGCCACAGTGAACTGGGGCACTAAAATGTTCACCATCACTGATCTATGTGATCCCCATGGGCCCTGCCAGCTCTGATATTGGATGGCGGTTGGAGACAGCATGTCTAGCTATTGGTGGGTGAGCAGGTTTTCACAGGAGACACAGGTCATGTTCCATACATAGGCTTCACATGTGCTGTATCGTGGTTTGTGTTCTTCACAGGTTCCTGAAAGTGTCACATTGCTGTTTTGCCTGTTGCATACATTTGTATACCTGTACACATTACTTAATTTCTGACATGTTTGAGAATTTTGCTTTTCTAAGGAATTCCACAGTAGTCTTTGAGGCAGAATTAGTCTTTTTATTATACATTATTCATCCTTGGTATGTCTTAAAATTTTCATTTTCATGTGGTTTACTTAAAATAAGAAAGTTTGTTATACAGACTAAAATATTATAATATGCCTTTATGCATTCACATTATTTTACTGATAGTCTTGGTTTCTTTTGTCATCTACAGTTGGTCATTTCATGATAATCAGATGTATACACTGTTATCAACGTTTAGCTTGACAGTAATAAAAGTGATGTACAAATCTCCAGATTTATGCCAGGTCTACTTTCAGTTAGTTGAATATTTAAAATTTATAGTGTGCACTTGGACTAAGCATAAGCCTGGTTTTCCCTGTTTTTAATATTTCTCCATCTTTTCCAAGAATCATTGAGTCACTTATCTCAAAGCCGCTAAAGCTTGAAGTACATTGTTGCATTTTGGAAACAAAATACTAATTCTGTTGTTAGGGCTTTGAATAACTCACCTGTAGTTCGCATGTTATTTAGACATTTTAATCTGGTATTTTGATGTTTTGGTTTGCACTGGACTTTGTTGGACAGAGGCTGTGAATTCCCTAAACTAACGGTTTCATATATTTATTTAAACTAGGGTCTGGTAATAAAAGCACACCAGGGAACATGAGTGCTGAAGAAGCGACAAAAATTTTGGCAGAAAGGCGCCGTCTTGTTAGAGAACAAAAAGACAAAAAGGAAGAAGAGAATCTCCAAAAAGAAGTTGAACAAAGGTCAGCACAAAGCCTTTCTATACTCTAAAGCTTGGGTAGGGCTCAAAACTTGAAATTTCACCCTTAAAGAACAATTAACTTTTTCTTCATTGAGGATCAGAACTCTTTGATTGCTTTCTAAACTGAGAAAGTATAGAAAATATTTCAAGGCTTTGTAACTGACTGAGCAGAGAGGACCCCGACATCACCATACATTCTGCACCATGAAGGTGTTCTCTGAGAACATGTGGGAGAGACCAAGCTCCCATCTGGGGTCCTGCCCTCAGCAGTAGCACCTGAGTGATCAAAGGACTGATCACTGTTGTCAGTCCCTTTACTTTTAAGACTGGTGACTTCAGATTTGTAAACATGGAAATAATATTGTTTTAAATTTAGGTGCTTTCCAGTGACTTTGGGACCCCTGAATCTCATCATGCCACTGGCTTGCTGCTGGAAGGCTGTCCTGTGGGCAGTGAATCTTGTATGCAGATATATGCATTTCAGCTTAAAAAAGAGGTTTATGCTTTTCCATCCTGAAGTTCATTTTATGTTATGCCCTATAATGTAAAATCTCTATCTAGTGCTACAAAGAATACCTGTAGTATTTGACTTCATTTTCAAGTATTAAGTGTCCTTGGAAATAGAGTCATACACTTTGCATATGCTTTATAGAGGCTTAGAGTGAGGAAGAGGAAGGGGATAATGGGAATATCAAGAAATTGTAACTGGAAGAATATTATTCACTTTGCATATACTTTATAGAGGCTTAAGGGGATAATGGGAATATCAAGAAATTGTAACTGGAAGAATATTATTCACTTTGCATATACTTTATAGAGGCTTAGAGTGAGGAAGAGGAAGGGGATAATGGGAATATCAAGAAATTGTAACTGGAAAATATTATTCATTACCTCATATTATAAACAGAGTTAATTAAGCATTTGCAAACACTGAACACAGACACCCTTCCACTCTCTTCTAAATTAACCCATCATCCCCAGGTGAAATTGTGAGCAGGTGTAAATAAAGCATTTGGGGTGATCTCTGTCTCTTAAAACATAAATTGTTTCTCTTTTGCACATGTGCATATATATGTGTTTTCAAGCTGCAAAATTGTCCAGTAGTAAATGGAAATTTTTTTCTACTCCCATTCCTTTTCACCTTGATTTAAAAGGGTTAAAATTATATGTGAGTCTGGTATAAATGAAAATTCTGTTACTGTACCCAAGGACTTTTTTTTTGTCTTTTTCCTTTTTATTGGTATTGGGAATCGAACTCACAACTGCCTGCTTGCAAGGCAGGTGCTTATGCCACTGAGCTAAATCCCCAGCCCCTGTACCCAAGGAATTTTACATATCACTGCAAGCTTATATGGTAATCACTAAGATAAATACTAAGAGGTATTTATATGTACTTGGCGTTACTAGGAAAATGGCAGCTGTGTCAGACAAAATGGATGAAGCCCAAGTTGAAGAATTCTCAAAATGTGAAAATAGGCAACAGGAAAAAGAAATTGAAAACAGCACAGGACAGAAGCCTCAAGAAGACCAGGAAGTAATGCAACAGGTTTGTTGGCTTCACACTTTAGCAACAGATAAGAACAAGTTGAAACTCAAAGCAGCAATGTGTTTTTGAGCAGATAGATCATCTCCAGCCACCCCCAGCAAAGCCCTGGAATGTTTCCCAAGGATAGCAAACGAATGCAGAAAGCAGCAGATTATATATTATCACTCCTTTACTTTGGTTAGACAGCCCAAGTCAGGCTTCTGTCTTGTATTCTGTGATGCTGTACAGGGCACTCACAGCTGCACCTCATACCCTTCAGCAGTTAAGAAGGTAACACAGATTGGGAATGCCTCTGAAAGTTTAAAATTATCAAATTCACCAAGAAGAATGTCTGACCCTTCTAAATTCAAACTGCCAGTTAAATGAAGCCCCAAAGTGAGCTCAGGCTACGCTCATTTTGCAGTATTGCCCCAGTACAATTTATATCAGAGTGTTAGTGCATCATTCATCAAAACTGGTTGTATGTTTCATAAAGGATTGTATCCTCTGGCATTTCTTGGGAAGGAACTTTTATGGATTTTCTCAATGTTTTGGCAAAACCTAAGACTTTGGTTCCTAAGACATTTCTGTTGCCGTGTGGATGTATAGCTCTGAAGTCACTTATATACTTTTACAGTAAGGTTCCCTGCTGTTCATAATGCTAACTTGAACATCCCAAGCCTTTTAGGTAACATTTAGCCTAGGTTCCGTGCATTCTAACTAATGCTTTAAAAAATGACAACTATGGTAGGGCTGTACATCCATATATATGTACATACTAAATCAAAAGATTGCAACTGTTTAATTTTTTAAACTGGTAGTCTCTGTTTCACTCAGATATATTGAAATTAATGACATTTTTATACTAATTTCCTAGAAAGGAGATGCCAAAATAAATGCTTGTGAAGAAGCCGATAAACGCAAGAAGGAACAAGAGAGGATTATGTTACAAAATCTGCGAGAAAGATTGGAAAGAAAAAAGGTGCTTACTTTCTATTTTCTGGGTTTTGGTTGTGTTAGACAGTGTGGGGCATGTGATACCAGAACATTTTTGAAAATCGCAGATTGAGTATGCGTTAGTCCCTGGCTGTTTCCCCACTAGGTATGGGCTTTCTTTCCTTTTCCAAGTAGCTGAGTTCTACATAGAGGGCTCACCCCTTACTAAGCATACATACCTTTGCTAGCCATTACAGCAGTGCTTCTATATCAGTCTGGAAACAAAGCTCCTTTGAATAGGATGCCTTCAGCCATAGTAGAGGCTGGTGGAACTTACTGTCTCCTAAACTGGGCTAGAATTTGCAGCAGCTATGGTGCAAAGAAGTATAAGCCTCTTTGAAAAGCCAACACACAGCCCATGGTAGAGCTACTTTTATACACCTCATATGGCTCATCTACTGTATTTTCCCAAAATAAGACCAGGTCTTATATTAATTTTTGCTCCAAAAGATGTAATAGGACTTATTTTCAGAGATTGGCTAATTTTTTCACCTCCAACAGTCTACATTTATTCACGTACAAAAATCTACATTTATTCCACTGCAATCATATCATCATCTTCCGGAACATCATCATAACTCTTCAAGCCCTGAATTCCCTGCCTGGATTTCTTGCAACTCCATGTCCTATAGAAGCATTGGCCCCAATCTCTCATGTCCAGCAGTGGAGCTGTTCTTAAAAGAGCACTTGGTGTCCCTGTATCCTACCTGTGTATTGATAGCACCACTGTCATTGATTTTATCCCATGAATTCTTCACCCATGTTACAGCCTCTTGCAGGCTGGGCTACACAAAGTTTCCATTAAATCAAGTGTTACTTAAGACTTCCACGTCAGGAGTGGCAACAAAAATGATGACAGTTAAAAATGATGGTCCACACATAACTGACAAAATTTGCAGACACTGAAATTCAGGAAACATTTATTTCACATGAGGGCATTAAGTATATCCATTCCAACACAAAACATACTGAATTGTGAAGATTCATATTAAACATAATCATGTCCATCTGCCAATCAGATGTATGCGTTATTCATGTCTTGTGTCTATACTCCACTTCATCATTCAGCAATAAGTCTCCAATTTTTTTGGTTTACATAGGCATTTACCTTTCCTTTAAAGGCACCTGCTTGTGTATTTAAAAATATATAATTTATATTGTCATGTATTTTGACTATTTCAATAATATTTATATGCAGTTATAGTAACATTATTTTATAATTCATATGTCTGTTGTATGTTTCCACAGATATACTAGTTGTATCTGTGGCTGACAGTCTTAACTAGGGCTTATTTTGGGGGTGGGATTTATATTACAGGCTAGGTCTATAAAACCATGCTAGGTCTTATTTTGGGGAAACATGGCAGGAACTTGGTCTGGGCACAGATTCTACAAGACCCCTTGTCAATAGATCAGGCACCCTGAGGTGGCCAAGGAGCCATAGTTGACCTCACCTCACGAAGGAGAGGAGACAGTTCTTATCCCCCTATAAAATACATCCCTTATCCAGCTCCTTGGCTTCTCTTTTTAGTAGCAAAGTCTCTCGACCCTGTGGTATCATCGAGGTTCCTTATTTTCATTAAAATCAGCTTCTTGAATAATCCGTTAAGACTAAAATTCTATTAAATGTTCTAATCGATTTGCAATAAATAGTATGTGCTTAGTTTCAAGAAATGAATTTCCATGTGCAAATAATGAGAAGTTGGTATTTGAGTGTCTGTATTAGGACAATTAAGTACAGCTGTTGCCATTCATGGTATTTTATAGCTGAAACCAGGGTGGCAAGAGGGAAGTTGGCTGCCACTCTAGACCTTTGGTTGGTTTAATCTGGTTTTAGAACAGTTTTGTGGACATTGTCCACCTCTGTGAAATGGAGATATTAACTGCTACAGGACCACTGGTTTTATTCTTTATGTTTCATTTTTTGTTTTCTTTAAATAGAGAATTGAGGAAATTATGAAGCGGACAAGGAAGCCAGAGCCAGATGCTTCCAAGGTAATCTTTACTCCTTCCTGCTGCGTATGAGAATTCCTCTTGTTTCATGTTCTTGCCAGCTTTTCACTTTTGCAAATCTGGCAGTAAAGAATCACATTCGCATTTCCATGATTATTAAAGAGATTGAGCATGTTTTGGGTCTGGATAGCTTTCCTGTTTTCTCTTGTGTGAAATGCTTGTTTAGGTCTTTTTCCCTGAAACCTTTGGGCTGACTTGTCTTTTGCCTTCTTGTAGTTTTTGAATGTTCTAAATTCTGCTGCTTTCTGGACTGTGTGATATAGGCAGCTCCTTCTGATGTGTGACTTGACTTCTCTTATTGTCATCTTCCGCTGGATAGAAGCTCCGGATGTTAATGCTGTTGACCTTTGTCAATATTTTGTAGTACAAAGCTGAGTGCTTTTTCATGTACTTACTATTCATTTGGAAATCCACTTTGGTAACATGGCTTTTCAAGTCATTGGCCCATTTTTTTATTTCATCCTTTTTCTATTGATTGTAGGAATTTTTATCTACTCTGGCCAGGAGTCCTTTGATACATTTATTGTAGGGTCTTCTCCCATGCTATACAAGAGCTGATCAAATAATATGGCATATATTTAAATTTTTAAAATTTATTACATTAACAGATACATTATCATTAATTCCCATTCTCCATTCTCCATTGCTTCAACTGCACTTGTCCCAGCATTCTTGCCATTTTTTGAAGCAGTTCTAGAAATTTTTTCATCAGTATCTCTAAGTGGTCTCATCAAAAATAACGTAAGTGCTACTGCCAAGTGCCATCCAATGGACAGGCAGGCTGGAAAAAACACTGTGTCCTCATCTACCTTAGTCACCAGGTCTGACACCTTATGACGTGAGGCTTTTCCCTAAAGTCAAAATGACCATGAAAGTAAACATTTTGAATCAGTTCAGGACATTGAGACAGCCATAACAGCACAACTACAGACACTCAGGAGAGAAGACAAAATAATATAATACCTGTGTTTGAAGTGAGAAGGAGGAGTATTTTTAAGGAGATTAATGGCAAAGTGTCTTTTACTATAATAATTATTTTTTCATTTAAACATTCACTCTATTTTTAGATCATATGACGTAGTTTGCCCCTTTCTCTTGATGTCTTAACAATTCAGTGGTCTTCATTTCAGTAAACTCAGATTTATCCTTTTTTTCCTTTATTGTGAATGCTTTTTGGTTCTTTTTCAATTTTGCTTACTCCAGTATCATATCTTTTAATGGAATATATTTATTTAGCAACTTCACTATGGGGCCATAATTCATGTCTCACTGCTGGGCAACTCTAAATTAATGAAATAAATAAATATGTTGACTCTTATAATTCTTAGTATGCATAGTATCACTGTTTATCTTTGGGCAGTAATTACTCAAATTCAAGCAACTAGGTTTGGTCCATGTATAGACTTTTTATTCATTTTATTAGTGAAAAGACTGATAAAAGTGAAAAGATCAATTTGTACCACCAGTGGTACAATCTGCATAATGAAATCACTAGTGGTTCCGGTTGACAGGAACAATTTAAGCCCTATTTCTTGCAGATTCTGTGTTCTTTCATTCTGGGTCACAGAATTGATCCTTTACCTGTTTACATTGCCCATTTCTAGCCGGTCATACCATTAATTACCATGAGAACATAGACCAAGTATGTCAGTTCCAAAAAGTGCTAGGAGTCAGTTCATTGGCCCAAGAAATTTTACCTTTCTTGGTAAAAGAACTTTTTAGCTCTTCACCAACTTGTTGAACCCCAGCTCAGTTGGGATTCCAAGCAGGGAGAGGACAGATGGCAGTCCAGAGCTGTAGCCCAGGTCAGAGAGAACCTTCATTTTTCTGTCTCTTTCCCTAGCTGAAAGATCCAACTAAGGCCCCCTGCTTCTGTCCCCTGTAGATTCTTGGGGCCAGTTAAAGAGGTGATTTTTTTTTTTACTTTTTAATTGAAAAGTTACCTATCATTCCAGTCTTGAATTCAGACTGCTTTAAAATTCTAAGCCAGGTGGTTGGATATTAGTTATATTCATTATTTTCTTTTTTAACTGTAGGCCATGGAAGCGTCTGGCAATAACATAACTGAAGAAGAAGAAGCTGATGATGAGGACACCAAAAGTGAGAAGGGCTGTCTTAACACATTTTCATCAGGTTTGCTTGCTCCTGCAGTTCTGTTAGTCACCATTCAGGGGCAGGACTGCCCAGGTTCATAGCCAAGGGCTCTTCCACTTGTGAGCTGTGGGCCTTGGGCAGGTCACTTAAACTTTCTGCACAGAAGGGGAAGTTAACATTGTCTTTGTCCTGGGTGGGCATGAGGTTTTAATGAGGTAAATCTGAGTAATACTCAGCATAGTGTCTGACATGTAATAAACCCTAACATTAGCTGCTATGGCTGCTGTTACCTTACAGGCCATGCTAGAGACTGTAGGTGGCTGCTCTGTCTCAGTGAGGATTGCTGGCATTTCACAGCTCAGGCCCTCAGAAGGCATCCATGACTGACTATAGATAGAATTCCACTTTCTGCCTCCTTAAGAAAAACTGAAGTCATGTCATGATATGAGTGCCCTCCAATATATATTGTTGACTCCCTGTGAGTAGGAAACACTTCTGAGCAGGAATAATTGGGATATCTGTCCATGCATATCCTGCAAGCGGATAGTGAACAAGTAAGGAAGGTGTCGTGTAGGGTGCTAGAGATGGAGTGATGAAGGGCCGTGGCCTCAGCCTCAAGGAGCCCCAGCCTTTGGGAGACAAACTCATAAGCAAGCAGAGCTGGCGCCTCTGTGACCAGGTCAAGAGAGGCTCAGTCAGCGCCAGGAGAGCAGAGCAGCAGGAGCCTCTGGATCTGCCTCCGAGCACCGAGGAGAGCCGCAGATAGGAAGGAGCCCTGGAAGGGAGGCCAAACTCAGGGCATGCTGGCTGTGGTCATCAGGGCCAGGGCTGGGAAGCAAGGAGCACTCCTGCTTTCCGTGCTGTCAGCATTCCCAGCAGTTTCTTAAAGGCGGTCCCTTTGAGCGCAGCTGCTCTGCGACCACAGCTGAGATACACAGAGCAGATTGGGGATGGCCAGCCTGGCTCCCCAGAGCACCACCGGCCTTCCATGCCCTACTTCCAGCAGTCACCGCCCATCTTATCAAGATCACATCCTTGGCTGTTTCTTGTACTTATTGTTTAAACTCCAATGGTAATTATTTGTTTTTCTTCCTTAGGTACTGGACATAATGGAGATTCATCTGCCAAACTCAAAATACCTTGTAAAAATGCCACAAGAATACCTCAGAAAGTGGTGCTTATACAGGCCAACACTAGAGAAAAAAATAAGGAGCAGACACCATACTTCAACGGTGACGTGAGGGCCTCTAAACAGAAGGATGCGAAAGACGCTTTTAATTATGCAAAAGGCTCAAGGTGAGTCACCTGGCACCTTATGTACCTGAGTAAACATGGGGGTTGTGATTAACCTCAGCGTGCTGAGCTAGAACAAGGTCCTCACTGAGCTCTTAGCCTGCACATGCCAAACACTGTGTCCAACCGCAACCCAACAAACCAGCGAATCCCCAGCAGCCTCATTAGTAAGGACCATCATTGCTGTGTTTTAGAGATCATCAGACTGAATGTAAAGCAACCAAGGGCTTTATTTGCCCAACGTGCCACTACTAAAGGGCAGAGCCCAAATCCAAACCCAAATTCACCTGACCCCAGACTATTTTTGTTCACATGGTTAATGTTTTGTAAAATCAGGGAAGGAGGCATTTGTGGAGTAACTGCCATAGACCAGGCATCGTATATTGCTTTCCGTGTGGTACTGGCCTTCACACTCATGATGTTCAACCATTTTTTATGTTTTATTTTGGGATGAGATCTCACACTGTCGCTAATTTGTCCAGGAGGAACTAAAACATAGTCCTCCTGCCTCAGCCTCCCAGAGTGCTTGGATCCAAGTGTATGCCACCATGCCTGGCTATGTTACCAGTTTTATATCTCCCTGCAGCTCTGATTTATGTTCCTTTCATGTATGTGGAAATGGGGTCAGGTGACTGCCTGAAAGCGGGCATTAAAGCCACAAGACCCATGGTAATAGGAGCGTGCTGAGAATCTGGGTGCCAGTGCCAGTGCTAGTGGGGAAAGCGCGCCAGAGGTGGAAATCCTGCCCTGACGCTCAGTGTGCACTCTTGACCAACTCAAAGGAGAGAACCAGTGTTCTGGCACCCTGCATGCGTGGCTGCTTCTTGCCCTCTGTGCTTCCCTGGCACCTTAGGGCTTTTCTAGAATACACCAGGTTTTGTGAGCTCCAGGGTCCTTTTCAGCCTTCCCATTCCAGGATTAGGAAAGTTCATTTATACCTGAGGCATCTCTTGTAAGCTAATTAAAAGATAAAGTTTCTTTCAGGCAGAGCCTTGGCATTAGAATAATCAGAGTTCTGATGAAAATGTCTCTTTCCAGTCCACTTATGAAGAGAATGACCACCCGCACTGGAAAATCCATCCAAGCGAGGGATGCCACCTCCAGCACCCCATCCACCCAGGGTGTTGCAACAGATCAGGGGGCCGTTTGTAACCAGGGGTTTGACTTTGCTCATCACAGCACCGAGTCACCTGCCACCAATAGCACTCCTAATAGCAACAGCCACAATTCAAGGGATTCCATGGCAACTCACCAAAATAGTAAGATATCCTCAGACTGTCAGGAGAGGAGCAAGCCTGTTCCTTCGCAGTCTGGTAAGGCCTCAGCCCACCCTTACTTTTCCTGAGCCCTCTCCTGCAAGCCCTGTCCTGCTCCCTGCTTCCCGAAGTCTCCATTGCAGGAAGGGTTTAGAAGAATCTTTGACTCATATGTTCACAATGGGGCAGTATTTCATGTGTCTCACTGCCAGGCAGCTTGAACCCCCAGTAGTACCTGCATGGGTGGCTTTTTGTTAATTTTGTTAGTGAAAAGACCTGAAAGTGGTTAGATCTGTTTTTACTGCTAGTGGTACAAGCTGCTCAATGGGACAGTCGTGCCTGCCCCACTGATGGTTCAAACAGGCTGGAATGTGTTGTTACTTTTGAGAGGAGATAACTTGATTCTAGTTTTTATTTTTCACATTTCTTGCCAGATACAAAAAAATATTAAGTTCCTTTCAAAATGCAGATTCCCCTGGACTCCTAACCCACCAGCTGCATGACAAGCACATAGACACTCCTTTAGGGCCACAGGCTAGGGAGCTCTTTGAAATTAGCCCCTCATCCTATATTTCCAAAATCAAAAGCCATTGATTTTCTTTCCTTGGCAAGGCTTATTTGAAAATAAAAACACTTTTGTTGTACTAATAAGGATTGAACCTAGGGTCTTTGTCCTGAGCTATATCCCCAGTCTTTTTGTGATTTTTTTTTTTTACTTTGTTTGAAACAAGGTCTTACTAGGTGGTCCAGGCTGGGCCCTAACTCGTGATCCTTTTGCCTCAGCCTTCCAGAGTGCTAAGATTATGTTACTACACCTGGTCTCTTTGAAATTAAGTGATTTCATAGCATTGGGGGGGGTTTGAGGAAATGGGGAACATTTATAGGAGCACTGGGGAGGCAGCAACCCAAGGAGCTGCAGAAGGTCTTAGGCCTGCCCCAAAGGAAGACCAGGGTTACTATGAGTGTCTTCTCTAATCTTTCTTTTTCTTTTCCCTCTGTTAGACATGTAAACTTCCTGTGACCTGGAACATCAATTCATCTATCACTCTGGATAAATTTCCCATCCATGTTCCAGAATTTTCCTGCTTTGTGCTTGAATCTAGCAAAGGAAATGACCATTAAAAAAAGGAAGAAATAAGACATCTAAAGGCCACTGTTCCATCTGTCGTAAAAGATATCCATCTCATCTTATTTACTTGTGAGTTCTCAGTAAAAAGATGGATTTTTTTCTTGAAAAGTCCCCATTGTCTCCTGTGTTTTCCTACCAATGTGTATGCACCTGCAACATGGTTGTAAATGTTAACAGTCAAATTTTAAAAGAATCCTGTCAAAGTGACAGTCACTTTTTCAGTGTATTTTTTAAAACTTATAATTTCTTCTGCTTAATAGTGACATCAATTTTAACAACTGGAAGCTCATCGTAGTCTTGTTAAGAACCTAATAGATTCTATGAAGCTCAGAATTGTTCACAAGAGCTGTGTCCAATTGTTGCTAATACACCAATCCTGGAAGTTGCATAATATAGTAACAGTTTACATATCTCTATTTCATTCTGCTGCTTTAATGCCTGGCATTCATTCCCCCAATGCATCTGTTACTATCAGTGCAATGTTTTCTTTTGAAGGACACACTGGGCTTTAACTACAGACATAGGGATTGTTTTTGTTACATGCATAAAGGAGTAGTAGCTGCTCTCTTCCAGCAGTGTCACGTTCCCCTAAATGTTGAGCATTCATCACCGTCTCTCTCTCTCTCTCTCTCTCTCTCTCTCTCTCTCTCTCTCTCTCTCTCTCTCTCTCTCTCTGTTCTCCTCAGTCCTGTCGTCCTTTACCATACACTCATGCTTGGGATATGTAACCAAAATGTGCTTGCTTTTCTCTTGGCACTGGCTGCAAGGAAGGACGGGGGCAGCGTTACTCCTCAGTCCTCACAAGAAGCACACACACGTACACACATACAAGTACACTTGCACACGCACACACACCACATAGATGATTCCATAAAACTTGAAAGCAAGTTCCTTGTTCTAACACTAATGAGTTTCATAGTGTTGAGTCACAGAATTTGAAGTAGACCAATTATTCCTTTTGGCTACTAGTCTGGGATTCATAAAAGGAGATAACTATTCTTTCTAATCTTTTGGGTTTTGGGTACTTTGAGTACTGTACCTTTGTTATAGATTAGGGCAGGATACCTTAAGTTTAAAAATTTTTTATACACTAGCTTTTATATAGAAGGCAGAGACAATCACTCTAAAATACTGAGGTTCTGATGTTTTTCTGCACCGATGGCATGTTGAAACACTGTTGCAGCTCTGTGTAAATGTGTGCTTTATGAAATAAACTTGGCAGATGAAACACATTTTGTTAGACTCTGATGATAAGAAACGCATTGGTAGTGGTATACATGTGGCACACTTGCTGACTGCTCAGCACAGGCAGCCAGCACCTCAGTAAATAGTAAACGGGCCCTGACTCTCCTCCTCTTGCAGCTGGTTATCGGGAGTTGTTCTCCTTCAGGACAGCAAGACACCAGCGCCAAACTCTGGATTTCTCCCTGCAGCGAATCAGTGCCTACACTTGTTTCCTCTGGTGGCTCTCACTTACTGTGTCTATTGTAAAAGTATCTTTTTATTGTGGTAAAATTCATATAATAGTCATTTATATGAAAAATTCATTTTTTCATTTTTGTTTCTCTGAGATGGAGTCTGGCCATGTTGCCTAGGCCGGCCTTGAACTCCTGGGCTCAAGCAGTCCTCCTGTCTCAGCCTTCCACATAATTGGGCCTATAGGTGTGTGCCACCACAACTGACTAAAAGTCACCACCAGCTCCCTTGGTCCACCTCTCGTCTCTAGTTTCTGTCACAACTCCAAGACATGGGTGGAATCCCTAGCCTTTTTGGCCCCCACCTGACGTTGTGGTCCCCTCACATATCCCTTCCTCTCCAGATAGACTTTTAGTGTCCTCCCTGAAGGACCATCCCTGGACACCACTAGGAGATTCTTCAGAACACCACGTTTCCTACACCTGTGTCATTAAGGACACCACATGTGACAGCTGCAGTGCCCAGATATCCTGCTGCCCGGGACCCCAGAGATCTGAATCCAAGCGGAGAGGGATGCTAGATGGGTCCACGGCTCTTTGCTTGCTGTCCCCCCGTTGAGCCTTGTCCCTGTCAAAAGAGGAGGCTGTACCTCAGGCGCTGTCACATCTGCAGGTCACCCCTTCCCGGGCACATCAGAGACATCAGACCCATTCTATCAGCAGGGCTGAGTCCCTGGGAGCTACTGGGTGGGTTGGCATAGGCCCCGGCGCTCGCTCCAGCTCCAGCAGTCTACCGACTGTCTCCAGGTGAGTCCTGCTCACTCCCCTATCTCCAGTGGCTCCAACTCAGTCACAGTAGCATAGTCTGGGTCCCACATGTGACACGCTGAGTTCCTCCAAAGCGTTTCTGCCATGACGGGAGTTCAGTTTTATCTAAGAGATCATTACTGTGGAAATAGGCATTTGTTCCTTTTCACACAACTGGAAGGACGCTGGGCCAGAACACAAACCCAGGTCTGTCCCACCCCCACCCTAGTTTGGGAGCCACACAAGTGTGGCCTGTAAGGTAGGTCAGGCACCAGAAGAGTGTGTTCGGAGCTGGGGACAAAATCCTTGCCAATGTTGACTGAACGTTTTAAGACCCATTTGACAAGTGAAGAAACAATGTCAGAGAGGTTAGGAAACTTGCCCAAGGTCTCATTGCTAGAGAACGGCAGAGGAGCCAGGATTCAAACCTGGGCAGTCTGGTTCCAGACACTACCATGTTAGCCACGTGTTAATACGGTCTTGAGACTAATCTTTGAGGAGGAAAATGATTCTGACAATATGGTAAGGAAATCACTCTGCAAACACAAATACCCTTCTGTCCCGAGTACCTTGCGTGACAGCGTTCCGCAGTGACATGCACAAGGTGTGTGCCCGGGGTGCAGCTCGTCAGTTACTAGCTGTGTGAACTCCGGCAAACTTCTTAACCCCTTTGAACTTCCATCTCCTCACCCAGAAGAATGGGACCGCTGGCCCTCTCAGCTCGCTATGAGGATTAGAGCCCACGTGTCGCAAGGGCTGGCTTCTGAGGATGCTGAAGTGTTTAGGGCAAGCATCAGGCATCGAATGGCAGGTGATAGCTGGAGGCAGATGCCGGATGGGCCTGTTTCCTGGGCAGGAAGGTGGCAGCCACCACCTGTTGGAAACATGGGGTGGGCGGCAGAGTGGTAGTGCAGGAGATGTTAGCAGTGGGGCTTTCTTCAGCAGCCAGGGCAACTGCAAAAGGCACCCCAAGGGGTACCAAGGCAGAGGAAGAGTGGCGAGACACAGGGCAGATGTAGGGGAGGCCAGGAAGGAGTGGCTGAGAGGACGGTAGGGCGAGCTCTGGGAGAGGCCAGCACCGAGGTCAGAGCTCCCAGGAGGGAAGGTGCACCGCCTGCAGGAGGACATCTGGGTGAGGAAGAGGCCCAGGGCTGCTCCCAGGAGAGCAGCACAGAGTCTTAAGGTGCTGGCACAGGCTCTTTTGGCAAGAGCAGAAGCCAGGTGCCATCCCCTTTGGGGTCCTTTCCTAGCTGCCATCTCAGGAACCTGATCTCAGTACAGCGGCTCTCAGGATTGCAGCCACCCTGCTCCCGGCGCAGCCCAGAACACTGGCTAGACTCTTGTCTTCTCTAGAGGAACACATACAAGGGGCTGCCCGTGTTCTTAAACGTGCTCGTGGTGATGTGAGGCCCTGGATTCAATAATGGCAGGGGAGGGGGCGGATCCTGCGCTGTAGCTCATAGCTCCCAATTCCCCAATGACAGGCTTCAATTCCTTTCCAAGAAGGTAAACACTAGCATACGGGGCTCCGCCCTGGCCAAGGGCGCCCACTGAAGCCTAACACCTCCACTCTGATATCCATGCCTTCCAGCATGGCTCCTGTAGAGAGCAGGCAGCTCTACTACCACCTGTCACCCTGGGCCTCTGAGGCCATTTGGAAGTAACCAGTGGGGGTGGGTGGACGCCTGAAAACAAGAGCCGCAGGTGAGCTAATAAGGCTGTGTGACAGTCCAGAAGCTGCCACCAGCCCGGTTCCCTCTGCCTGCAGCTCCTCACCTTCTGCCTAACTGGAGACATGAGCCAAAAGCACAGGGGCAGCAAGGGTCCTCTAGGGCAGAGGGCACAGGCAGCCACAGCTGAGGGTATGGTAGTGCGCAGCACGAATGCAGAGCCCAGCAGGAGAGAGCCACGGGGAAGCTCGAAGCCAATAGCGCCCATGAGGACTTCTCAGTGAAGCGCTTCATCTGAGATTCCTCCCCCTGGCCTCACCATCCTGGCCAAATAAAATCAGTTTATCTCTTTTAAAGCAGATGCAAGTCTCAGAAACACTATCTTCGGTCAGAATGAGCTCCCAGTTTTTCCTTAACCTGGATCAAAACTGTGTTTTCGATCTGTCTTATGTATATATAGTTCCTCTGTTCCATGTGACTGCACTGAACTGAGTACTTCCTTGAATTAGGGGGAAAAGAGTGCCCAAGTTTCTGAGTCAGCAGTATCACCTATGGGGGTTATTCTGGGCAGAACACAAAGACAAGAGGCAAGTTATTTCTATGCTGCTTTATTTCTGTAAGGATACACTGAAACATTAGATGATAAGAGCTAATGACAAAATGTAGAAATGAGGCCTCGGCTTCTACAACCACTCCTACAGAACGTTAATATGTACTGAGTTACATGTTTACTTTGGATACTGGCTTGTGATACTGTGTAATATAATAATGGAGAGTACAGGAAGGAGGTGATCCCGCATCTCAGGGAAGCAGGAGGTGGAAATCTAGTTCCGCTTGTGAGGACGGTGGCCTCCCCGCTCCCCCAGGGAGCCCACTAAGCCCTTGAGGGGAAGTCCTAGGAATCACAACAGAAGGAACTCTGCAGCCCTCTTGAACACACAGAGGAAGAGCAGACAACTACTATGTTACAAGGGATGAGACTCATGACGGTTTCGAAATGTCAGATCCACATTAATGACAGCCCTGGTGCCTGCTCAGCTACCACCCCTCTAGTCACTTCCGAAGGATGACTCTCAAAACTGCAGGGCTGTCTGAGGGGCTCAAATATTGTCATGCAAGTTTCCAAACCCATAAACTATTACTATTAATGAAAACAAAAATATCATTAATTAAAAAAAAAATAAAAAAGACAGCAGGGTTAGTTTTGTTAAGCTTCCAGAAGAAGTATTCACTGTGACAATGCTGTTCTGAAACAGGCTCGTTTTCTCAGATCTGCTCACAGACTTGCAATCACCTGCGTGTCCCACGCTGGGAAGCGGGAACCCTCAGAACACACGCCACACAGGCAAAGCAAACGTCGGTGTAGGGGAACAGTCAGTTGAGAATTACAGCTAAGTCCAAATGTTAATTTTCCGAAAATTCTTGTTAGTCATATAAAAACACAAAAGAACAGAAAGAAGGTGAGCGTTCAACTAGGAAGCTAAACTATGCGTTCCAGCAAGTTCTTTTTCTGCCCACAGAAGAGGGTGAGCAGTGAGTTGGAGCAGCCGCTGCAACTCTTGCGTGTCTTCTGGTTACATGGTGGGGCCCAGCTGAGCCCTAAGAGGCGTCTCAGTGGGGCCTTTGTCGCTTATGCTCTTGCTTACATCATGAAGTGGCTACATGGTTAGCACTTTTCTGCTCTATGGTAAACATGCAGAAGAGTCAGTCTATCTAAATTTTCATTTCTTTGTTGCAGCGATAGAGAAATTAACTTTGCTGCAACTTTGCTTTTGGCTAAATACTAGTATGATTCACTGTGTGCCCTTATTTGAGTAATACTGTAAAATGGGAGAAAAGACAGAAGGAACAACTTTAAGAGGTAAAAGACCACTCTTGTCCTATTGATGGTGTAGGGCAGAGAGAGCAAGGACACGAAGAACATGATGCAAACTCCATTTTACAGGACAGGAGCCCCTGTCAGTTTACAGCTTTTTGGCACAGTCGGGACAATACACCTGCTCCTGGTGATAAACAAAGCGCTTGTTGGCCAGATTCACGGAGCATTTTTTGCAGTGGAAGCAGTAGTCGTGCCAGGATTGTCCTTCATAGGCCACCACACTGGAGCCTTTACCAAAGCCTGTGGAAAAACAAAAGAAAATGGAGGGAGACAGTTGAATGAACACAGGTGAGGAAGCTGTGATTCAGAGCTAAATGACGACTTGCCCCATTCAGAGCCAACAATGCAAGGAGCCAGTGTCTTTCTGGCTCCCAGTCCTCCCTCCACCACACACTGTCCCCCATGCTGCCACTGTGCCCCATGCTGCCACCAGCCTGCTACGGCTCTCAAGGACCTGAGAG